CTTTCTAGATGGGAAGTGTGCTGGCTAGTTTTGTGTCAACTTGAAATGAGCTAGAGTCATGAGAGGAGGGGACCTCAATTAAGAAAATGCCCCCACGAGATAAGGCTATAGGCAAACCTGTAGGACATTTTATTAATTAGCAATTGCTGAGAGAGGGCCCAACCCACTGTGGCTGGTGCCATCACTGGGCTGGTGGTCCTGGGTCCTACAAGAAAGCAAGCTAAACAAGCCAGGGGAGCAAGCCAGGAAGCAGCACCTGTCCATGGTCTCTGCACCAACTCCTGACTCCAGGTTCTTGTCCTGACTCCCTTTGGCGATGAACAGTGATATGGAAGTGTAAGTCAAATAAACCCTTTCCTCCCCAAGTTGCTTTAGTCGTGGTTACAGTGATAGTAACCCTGACTATGACAGGAAGCCAGTGCTCAGAGTTAAATGGACTTCTCAGAGCCGGGCAGCCTGAGTACAGCAAAACTTTCAACTTGACACTAAGACTGTCTCCTACCAAAGTCTCTCCTCTCAGCTCCTCTGTTCCTGGGTTCATCCTAGGGTTCTTTTCACTTCTGCCCTGTTTCTTGTAAGCTGCTACTATGCTAAGCCCCAAATGGGCCTGGCAGGGCTTTGAGGCTCTCAAAGTTCAGTTCCCTGTCCTCAGGGTAAGTGAGGAAAAAAGAATACTGAATGGCATAAAGAAATGTTTACAGCACACAGACACATGGGAAGTTCAGGAGACAAAACAGACGAGGCACAAGACACATCTATGGCCCACATGTGAGTGAGAAGGTACCCAATGGCACTGTTCAGCAGGTGATGGCAAAACAGAACTACTATTAGATGCCAGCTCATACCTCTGAGGATAGCAAGCAATGGGAGATGTGTAGGAAAGGGAGTCCCTCTCTACTGTTGGGGCAAAGTCAATAGCACCATCAAACAGTAGGGAGGAGCCTCAGGAAACTGAAAGTCACACCATCTGATAATCCTACCATCCCACTTCAAGGTAAGCAGCAAAGGAATTCTAATGAGGATCTCAAAGACGCAGACTTGAAGCCAATTGAACTACACACCACCACAGCAGCTGTGAGCTGGGTCTGTGTACCATGCATGGGCCAATGGATGGGAGAAGGTATGCAGGATATTCATTTTGAAAGAGATGGAGAGGCTGCCATGGGGTACAATGTGGATGACCTAGAAGATTCTATGCTGTATGAATAGACTCAGGCATAGGACAAAACCTGCAGGCCCACTTATATGAAGTGGCAGAAAGTCAAGCTCGCAGAAGCAGCGAACAGAACAGTGTTTTCTGTGGACTGAATGGTAGAGACCTACTATGCAATGGCTATAGAGTTTCAGCCAGACTAGATGGAAAATCTAGAGCTCTGTTGAACCACACTGCTCTTCCAATTAACAGTATTGTTCTAGAGACCTTAAATGCTCTTATAGAAATGTATCCCAGTGTTTTCTTTGTTATCACAATTTGAAATAACAGAATGACCACTATGATCTCTTGTGTAAGAAGGGAGAGATGTGTGACAGAGAGATAGATAGAGAGGGGGGACAGACAGGCAATAGACAGAGAGACAGGAACACACGGAGAGAAAGACAGAGAGGGAGGAGTGCTGAGAGGAAATTTAGCAAAACATTATCAGTGTTTTCCCTGCTTGTGAGACGATAGGGTCGATTTTCTTGGTAATACTTTTCTAATCTTCTACAGAGGGTATCATATTCGTCATTTCCCTTCTCCCCCTAAAAATATGAGGAGGGGGAGGAGGAGAAGAGAAGAGAGGAGACAAAGAAGGAAAAGAAATCAACCCAGAAGTGGCAGATTTGGAGACAAACAGAAATTCCACCTGGCTCTGCCTCCTCTCTACTCTGTGGCTGTGGACAAGTCACCCAGACCCTGTGAGTGGCAAATCCCTCACCTGAGAGATGAGTGCAGTATTCACATGTCTTTGTCTTTGGGATGGAGCCAGCTGAGATGTTCTCTTTGCTCCTCAAAGGAGTGACAGGTCAAAGGGGGAAAAGAGCCAGGATATGTAGTGCCCTGCCAGCCTCAGCTCCTTTCACCTGTCCAGCTGCCATGTTTTTGTGGCCTCAGTTTCTCAACTTAGAAGATGGCAATGTTGTATATATCATACCCTTAGATCTAGCATAGAACTGATGAGGGGTGTCTTAGTTTGGTTTGCTGTGAAGAGACACCATGACCACGGCAAGCCTTATAAAGAAAGCATTTAACTGGGGTGGCTTGCTTACGGTTTCAGAGGTTCAATTCATTGTGATCTTGATGGTGAGCATGGCAACATGCAGGCAGACATGATGCTGGAGCTGAGAGTGTTACATCTCATAAGCAACAGGAAGCCAACTGATTGTCACACAGAGGGAAGCTTGAGCAAAAGAGACCTCAAAGCCTGCCCCCACAGAGACACACTTCCTCCAACAAGGCCATACCTCCTAATAGTGCAGCTTCCTTTGGGGGACATTTTCTTTCAAACCACCACAAGGCAGGTGTGTGGAGCTCCTGGGCAAGGTCTGTCTGGTCAGCCAACAGTCTTCCTTGCTGGGGATTAGCTCCTGAGGGCTCACCCTCTTAGCCTCACTATCTCTGAAGCAGCTCAAGGCTGGGACAAGTTCCAGGGACTCTTCTTGGCTAAGGAAGTCAAGAACTTTAGGGGTGTTCATCCTGCCCCTCTTAGCTGCCTGATGTCAACCCTGCCAGGTTCTGCCTGCATAGCCTGGTCTGTTTCTTCCATCCTATAAATTCGCCCCACCCCTCTTTTGCTCTTATTTTCTTCCTGCATGGCTGAGCCTTGCTGGCTCTTGGGCTTTTGGATCTTGTTCCTGCACTAAGTTCCCTTTGCCTCTGCTTGTCCTGTGAGGTTTAGTGATGACTCAGAGAAGGGGCAAAAGCTGGCTGCTCTGGACCACTCCCTCCACAATCAGGGCTGCAGTAAGTGAAGGAGCTAGAAGGGTGCACTCTAATGTCAGAGCTCAGTATCTGACACCCGCTAAGGAGTCACTGTGAACATAAGTGTGAGAAATGCAAAGACAAAATGTCTTTCTCCAGGGTACTTTCTCCCAGTCAGCCAGGGATATGGTGACCAATCCCATGCCCACTGATGTCACTAGGAAGCTCATGGCAGACAGGAGATTTCAGCTGGGCCGACCGGTCCCTGATTCACAGTCCTTCTTGCCACATGCCTATGGCAAAAGAGGCCTCTAATGATCAGGGAGTCTGTGTCAGGCAAGGTTGGGATTGGCTGTGGTGCCTGTATCAAGGCTAGCACAGGCTATGCATAGAGTATCTCTATTCCAAGGAAATATAGACCGGAAGTGGACAGCCTTTACTCCAGGACCCAGATACGGGGAGTGGCTACTGCACCCCTTCAATTCTGGGCGCACCTGCAAGTGCCCTAGTGCTGGCCCCAGGACTTTGTAGGAGAAGAGCTTTGGACTTCTCTCTGAGATCAGTGCCTGGGCGAAGAGCTACTGGTGTGGCTACCCCAGGACTCACTTCCTGCCCTCGGGTCCTGATGATGTCTGGCAGTGAGTCCCTCTTCCTCCCCGGTACATGTCAGTGCCAGGAGGGCAGGCATCCTTGCCTTTTGCTCACTGCTCTATCCACCAGGGAGAGGAAGAAAGGGATATAGTTGCCCATTTCCTTTTCCTGGGCAGGACAGAGAAGGACATGCATCAGAAGAACTCAGACTTCATGCTCTCCCCGACACATATCTTGGAGGAGTCAGGCTTCTCCTGATGGTTCTGCCAGGCCCAATGGGTAAGGAACAAAAGAACTTCCCGTGAATGCCCATAGAGTCCCATCAACAGCACACCCTGGTCCTCAGTCACACAGCAGCAGGCTTGTGGCCGTGACTGTTGCAGAGCAAAGGCACAAGAAGGGTGTAGGGAACTTAGGCAAGGCCACTCAGCAGGGTGATAGATAGGCTGGGCTCAATGCCAGGCTCCTGCTCCCTTTCTGGCTTTCGAGGAACCAGGAATGGGACAGGTAAACCAGAAAGGATGCCCTCAGGCCTGCCCAAACTCGTGTCCACACCAAGTCCATCATCTTGGGTAATATGGCAAGTTGTAGAACAGCCACAGCTACATAGTGAGACTTGGTCTCAAAAATAAAAAAGAGGAAGGGGAGGGAGAAGGGAGAGGAAGAATAAGAGAGGGGAAGGAAGATAATGTTAGGTAGACCACCATGTAGCCCAGGCTGGCTTTGAACTTGTGGTGCTCTTCTTAATTTAGCCTCATGAGTTTGGTGGTTATGGGCATGAACCATCATACCCAGCTTGTTCTCTTCCTTCCTTCCTTCCTTCCTTCCTTCCTTCCTTCCTTCCTTCCTTCCTTCCTTCCTTCCTTCCCCTCTCTCTGTCTTTCTTCTTTAGACAGGTCAGCCCTAGCTGACCTGGAACTCACTATGTGGAACAGACTGTCCTCAAACTCGCTGTGATCTGCCTGTCTCTGTTTCCCGAGTGCCGAGATTTGAAGGTGTGCACCCCCATACCCAGTCCGCACCTTCTTTCTTTCCTTCCTTCCTTCCTTCCTTCCTTCCTTCCTTCCTTCCTTCCTTCCTTCCTTTCTCCCCTCCTTCCCTCTCTCTCTTCCTCCCTCCCTCCCTCCCTCCTCCCTCTTCCTCCTTCTCTTGTTTTGTTGACATGGAGTCTGACAATGCACCCTAGGTTAGCACTGAACTTACAATCCTCCTGCCCATGCAGCTCCAAGAATATTGCCAACCACCACATGTGTCACCCTGTTTTCCACCCATTGTTTCCTTCCTCTTGCTGAGAAGCTGTCACAAGGGCCTAAGAGTCTGCAAATGGGGGACGTTCTGCCTTTGTCTGGGCCCCAGAGGCCAATCACTCTTGCCTGCTGTCTGCCTGGCCCTGCATCTCCACTCCCTCCTCAGATGGAAACTCTGTCTTCACTCACACTTGTTCCCTTTATATCTCTCCCCTCGGTTTTATGGGGCGGCTGTGGCAAGAATGAACTGGGGAGCCTGTGACTCCAAGACTGTCCTTTATTAGTTCTCTTCCCTGGGAAGCAGGGGCCTGCAGCTGGCCGGCGATCTGGGTGGGGTGAGCTGGCCTCTGGCTGCTGGGACGGCTGCACATCTGGGGTGGGGGCCTGGAAAGGAAGCTGAGATGAATTACCTGTGTGTGCTGGGAGAATCAGTTGGGCATGCGGGCACGCTGCCTGCTCCTCCGGAATTAGGGAGTGGGGCTGGGGGCTCCAGCTGGGGACCTATGAGAAGGCAAAGCCCCCATAGTGAAGCAGGCAAGGGCAGAGCCTTGGAGAGAAAGCCCAGCCTCCCTGTGAAAGAAGAAAGGGCTATTTTCTAACTCAGGGGGACAAAATCTCTCCAAATGAGCCCTCCCTTCTCTGTAGCACCTTCTAGACACACCACTAGGCCCAGATAGTTGCCATCCCTCTACCCCACCCACCCCATAGCTACGTCTGGCTGGGCCCCCACATCTCCTTCTCCTACCCAGTTGGCATGGGTACTTCATGCATTCCCTGCACACACATGCACATCTGTTTACAGGCTCACATTTTTCTCTTCTCTCAACATCTCCCATCCCTTCCACACTCCCCAGGCTATTATTGGCCACTCCGACACTTATGAGATGTGTGCGGCTTTGCTTTTCCTAGTCTGGGAAATTGAACTGATCATTCTAAACAAGAGGCTTCGAGTTGTTGAGTCATTTCCAGTAACGCCTGTCCCTGAGCTCCTGTTCCTGGCTAGAAGTTCCCTGGACCTGGAGTAGCCTGGCCTTTAATCGTGATCTGAATGGGACTCAAATGTGGACTCTGCCACCCTTCTATCTTCCAAGATCTCAGCTTCCTTTATACCCTGAGCTGATTTTTTTTCTTTGCAAGCTCAGAGGGGTGCTGCGAGTCAGAGCCCATCCTGGATCTTCCTTTTGTGCCTTCCCATGGAAATGTCCCCAGTCACCCCAGAATGTGTGTCCTCAGCTCCCTGGGTGCAAAGAGAGTTAGCAGGCAGGCGGCTAGGGGTCAAACTGCCAGGTGGGTTGACTAGTCTGCAGAGGACAATGCAGATAGCCCCCCTCCCCCAGCAGCTATTCGGGTCCCTTACTCTCCAGGAGGCAGGCTCCTCTCTGACATCATCTGTAGTCAATTCCCCCGAGGGCCATACCCAATTTTCATTTCCTCTCACTAATCCTCACATGCAGTCCCTTTGCACAGCCCGGAACAGCCGCTGTCCCGGAGCTGGCTCCACTCACCAGATATGTGTTGCAGCTCACGGACCCAGGTTTCTCAGTTGGGAAGGCCTTGTAGAAGTCGTCATTTCCAGTCCTCTTCCTCCAGGCCCTGGAAGAGGATGGGCAGGGCTCAGCCACCCACTTAACACCTTGGTGCCGTTTGTGGAGGGCTCCCTATACAAGATTGATGAGAAGAATGGCAGCTGATTATCAGCCCCTACTCACACTCTTGAAATTCATAACATGAACCATTTCCCATGGTGGCTTTGAGAGACACAGATTAAAATTATCAGAAGCTCTGATCAGAATTCTTGGACCGGGCTCTTGTCTAAGGTCCCGATGTAAGAAAGGTTAGGAATGGTATGTGAAGCCCCAAATAGCCCCAGAGGCAGGAAAGCACCAAAGGAAGAAGGTGAGCGTCTGTGACAGGCTGCATCTGAGTACAGGTGCACACAGCAAGGGTCAGCCATTCACGTCCGAGATCACCACCATCCAAGCCGCCAGAGCTGAGAGCAGGATTAAGCCACAGGAGGAGAAATGAAGTTCACAATGGAAACTCAAGCAGGAAACCCTGGGCTCTGTTTGGAGAGCAGCAGTCCAGGACTGAGGTTCAGGTTGAGCCAGTATGGTTAGAGCTGAGGGCAGACAGGAAAGAGTCAGGAGGTGACCCTTGCAGGGCTGACAGGCCATCCATATAGCAGTCAAGTCTGTACGCAAGCCCAGCCCACTTGCCCAGTAGATCTTTCCCACTGCTTCCTTCTAACCCCAGGGGGCAGAGTTGGGAGGATATAAGTGTCCATAGGCTAAGTGCTCTCACATTATGCCCTCGTCCCTCTTTCTCTGGACCAGCTTTTTGTATCTTCCACTGCTAACCCAAATGCTACCTTCTTGCAGAAGGTTTCCTTGATGCTCATCCCCTCCCCTGCCATCCCTGCAGAGCCTGGCCCCAGCCGTTGTCACAAAGCCTCACTTACACTGTATCTCTCAGTTTTCCCGCCCTGGCACTGAGCCTGGCTCCCGGGTGAATGCAAAGTGAAACAAAATGGACACATGTTTACAAAGAGGCGCCAGTTCGGGGTCTGAGAAGGTCTGAGACCTTGACAGGCAACTCAGAGCATAAAAGTACACGACTCTTCTCATTGTCAGCACCTGGGCTATGTCTGGCATCAAGGTGAAGGCATAATGGCAGGGCAGAGAGGGCAGATAGGATCCCTACTCCTCCTAGGCCAGGGCTCCTCATCCATCTCCCTCACCCCCAGTGTTGCATCGAGATCTCGATGGGATACAGAAGCACATGCAGAGGATACCTAAGGGACATTTAAGCCATCCTTGTGATGGGCACCTTGCCAATGTCCTGTTTTGATTGGCATGCCAGAACAGCCCCGGTTGCCCCTTCTCTGACCATTTTGGAAGGTTCTGTTTTCCTAGAGAGGCCTTATTGGTGGCCCCAAGCCTCATTCCATACCTTCCATGGAACAGCACAGCCAAGCAAGAAGCGATATCAGTGATCCTGGTTTCTGGGATTTGGGACTCAAGTTTTACATTAACTTCTCTGGTGATTGTGGTTGAGTATGTGATCCTCAGTGACCCTTGGATTCTCCCTGCTGGAGACTGGAGGCCTCCTAGAAGGAGAGCATCTCTGAAGAAGGATGACTTTGGGTGCTGAAGCGTGACCCTCACCACCATGGGCAAGCCACATCTGGTGCCCTGCGCCAGGCGTCCTGCCGTCCGCCCTAGTGCCTGAGCCTGCACCCGCCTGGCCACAGGCTGAGGAAACATAATTGTGCCGGGCTATTTCAGACCCATTATCTCAGCTCAGCCCCAGCTTCCTGAGCAGGCCCCGAATTAGCCTGGCGCTTTGTTCTCAAGTGCATTCGTCAGATCGCTTGGCCTGTACCTCGGGAGGAGGGAAGAGGAGGGAGGGGAGGGAGGGGAGGGCAGGAGAACGAGGGGAGGGCAGGGGCGGAGACTGGGCGGAGAGGGAGCGGGAGGAGGAACTCGATGCTAATTAAGTCTCATTAAAAAGAAGACGACAATGAGGAATAAGGCGAAGAAGAAAGAAAAAACGAAGTGGAGGGGGGGAGGAGGGAAGGGCTTGCTGAGGAAGCAGAACAGCCACCGGGAGAGAGACGCACACAGAAGCGCAGGCATACACACGCCCACAAAAAGACAGGCAAACACACACAGCTCTCCCTCCAGGCAGCCTGTGCCCGCTCTGCCCGGTCAGCCTTAGCCAGCCAGTTTGGCCCCACACTTCCGCTCAGAACGTGCATTTTCTTCCGGTGCCCAATTCAGTCAGGATTCAAATTCTGGGCTACTCAGAAGTTCCAGGCATTGGGCTAATCCCCTTTCAGGACCTCGGTTTCCAACATTTGTTACAGGGGAATGAATCACCAGTTCCTCTTAGCAAAGCAAACTGGAGGAGACCAGAGTATACTTAGAGGTGTCTAACCTCAGCAGCCAGTCTCCTAGCACAGTACCCTCAGGGGTCAGGCCTGGCCAGGCAGTCACCTCAGAGCAGTTCTCAGATGTGGTGGGGGTAGGACAGCCTCGGGGCTTACTTAGGTCCTGCTGGGCTCCCTCCCCTCCTGTCACTGTTGGCCTGTGCCCCGCCACCACCAGCCCAGGCTGCTTTCATGGACCATTGCTTGGGCAACAGACAAAGCTGCCCAGGGGTAGGGAGCCTCTGCAACATCACAAAGGTCCGCAGTCGCCCTAATGAACTAACTGGGCTCTCTTTCTCTCAGAATTCTTGTTTCTTAGTAACTCCCGTCTTCCAGTGGAGCCCAGCTCAATGCCAAGCTTGCTTTTCCCAGAGCTCAGTCAGACCCTGGCTAGACAAGAAGACCTAGGCATGGGATGCATGCACCACCCCTCTTTGTCTGTAAGGAGAATCCAGCTCTGCTCTCCCTACCTACCTCAGGTCAGGCACACTGCTTCCGGGCCTGGCAGTACTTCATGAACTTGCCTGCGAAGAGTAAGACCTCCCGAGTCTTTCGAGGATGGAAATTCAGGCCAAGCCCTGTAATTAGCATTTACACTCTTGCTCAGGCTCAGAAGGTGAATCTAGGGACTTCAGTTCAGAGCCCTTTCCCAAGCTCTCCAGCCCAAAGCACCCCCAAGAACACTTTGTTACAGAAAAGGTCATCTAGACTGGTGGCTGTCAACTTTCCTGACGCTGTGACCCTTTATTTAACACAGTTCCTCATGTTGTGGTGACCCCCAACCATACAATTATTTCACTGCTACTTCATGACTGAATTTTGCTGCTGTTATGAATCGCAATCTGTGCTTTCCAATGGTCTTGGGCTACCCATGTGAAAGGGTCATTTGTCCCCGCTTCCCCCAGGGGCTGCAACCCACAGGTTGAGAACCGCTGATCTAGATGGTCCTGGATTCAAATTTCTGCTCCGCGTCCTTTGTTCTTCTCCCATTTCCTCGTGCCCTCATTGCAGCGGGCTCAGCCCATCCACAAATGCCCTCTGAGCAGTCCAGATGTCCCTGTGCCTGGTGGAGAAGAGGAACTGGAGGAAAGATCCTCTCTGTGGGGTCTAGGATCACAGGAGTTGAGGCTGCCCCAGGAATTGAGATCAGGGAGCAGTGTGCTACAGGAGCAGGAAGGGCAAGGCCTGGCATTGGGAGGCTTGACTAGCAGTCCCAAATTTTCCGGAGACTTCATGGACCCTTGGTTGACTGAGTCTTTGCCCCTATATGGATGTCAGCCAGCACCCCTCCCCCAGTGGCAAGGCTGCATAGACTCCAAGATGCACAACTGAAGGTCAGTGTTGAGCCCACCTTCCACCCCCACCGGGCTCTGTGAGGTCAACTGGCAGGCCTCCCCCACACTCCACTCTCCTCTAGCGAGGCTGTTTCTCACAGCATCTTCTACAGGAGCGAGCCCTCCTCGGAGCCTTTCCACCCCACATTCCTGTGCAAGCCTTCAAGCAGTCCCAGACGGATGCGAGGGAGCGAGCTGAGTCGAGTTCTCATTGTCCGCAAATCGGGACCAGCTGTGAACAGCCTGACAGCCCCGGGCTCATGGCCGCCCCCACTCTCACTGCAGTTACAGAAGAAGGGAAAAGACGGAGCCCACCGCCAGCCCAGAGCTCCCCCTCTCCTATGTGAACGCGCATACATGCGCACATGTCCAGAAACAGCATGCCCAGCTCTCTAGCCAGGAACAATCAAGCATTATGAATAAAGATACGCAGCTGGACAGAGAATTCCTCCACACCCACCTGGCCCACCCACTAGCACACAACCTTCCTCCCTGTCCTGTCCCTCAGCACCTCAGAGGCACCCACCCTGGTACACAGGCATGTGGAGGCCAGTGCTCAGGGCCACAGAACTACCCTAATCTGGTCGAGCCCTCAGTGGAGAATTCTGGCCCTCTAGGAAAAAAGTTACTTGCCCCTATCATGTCATAATGTTAGGAGTCTGAGCACAAAGCAGGCTGTGGCTTCAGATACCAGGGCTGGTGTGGAAAGAGGAAGCCAGACCGGGTCCAGAACCTGATTCCAGGGCAGAAAAGCTGGCTCAACTAAGTGTAGACACTGACAGTGGTCGGGCTCGGTGTTGGGGCAGGTTCATTTATAAGAAGCCAGTGCTTGCATGGCATTTGGCAGCAGAGCAGTATATGAGTGTGGCCACTCTAAGTCTGACTACAATTAAGACATGACCTGCAAATTCAGGGAACAACATCCTAACCTAAGAAGAGAGCCAACAAGGCTCTGACTGGGGGCTTCAAATTGACTATCCAGTAGGATGTATGTCATATGCCCTACTGGAAAATGAGTCAAAACATGTGGACCCATGTATGACTGAGAGTAGCAGGGAAGTCAGTAAACATGAGCCGGGTGGAGGGATCCCTGCCAGCCCCATAACATCAACACCAATGGACTAAGACCGGGTCTGAAAGCCGCTCCTGTTGTGTCCTTCCCCATGCTGCCTCCCTCAGATTCAGCTTCTCGAGCACCCTCTCCCCAAACCTGTGAAGATGAAGTGGACTTCTCAGGTCAGCATTTGCTTCAGAAGTGAGGTTTGGATCCCTAGGCCAGTGGGCCTCCATCCTGCCTGCCTCATTAAATCTAGGACGGGGTTTGGACAAAAAAAAATCACAAAGAGCTGGAGACATAGTACAGTGGCAGAGTTCTTGGCCAGCAGGTGCAAA